CTCTTTGTTTGAGGAATAAACACAATTCTGGGCTTTCCAAGATGTCAACCACAATATCCTATGAAACTACTTTGAAAGGTAAAGCATCCACACTAAGTAATTTCTTCTCAACATCTGAAGTTGAATATAGAAGTTCTGAGAAAAGGTCCCTGATGTTGAATTCTCTAATGGTGAAGGAACTGCCACCAGAGTTTGTGGCATTTAGTTTAAACTGGGGCACAGATTTCTGTACCCCATGGATGGGTGAACTGCTAACTAGTCTGTAGAAACAGATGAGGTGCTCCTCCAAGTCTTCAAAGGGAGCAGGTCTCAGGTGTCCAGTGTGGATAGGCTGTGTAGGTGACCATTGCCTCAAGGCAGGCCGTTTACTCTTGGTTAATCCAGCCTCCAGTCACATGCTAACCCTGACACAAAAGGTAAGTTGGAGGGAACTGGTTCCCAGAATTCTTCTGTAAGTTGATAATAACCCCAGAGATAAAATAATAAATAATAGGTTGTTCAGATTGACACTTCAAGAGAGTAATCATCCAGATGTTTATTTTAGCTGGAAAGGTGTATTTGTGTGTGTATAAGCCTTCTCACTCCTCCGCTTTCTTTTTAATGCAAAAATACTTTGAACCTGCAGTGTATAGGAGATGCGAATGGCTTCATGTAAACTCTTCTCTTAGCTCCCGGTGCCCTTGCAGGTTTCTGTGGAAGATGATACCTGTTGAGTGTTTGGCAGTGAGTCATCAGCGGTATCAAATGTCAGGTCCAAGCAGCTGTGCTTTGGGATTCACTGGAAGGAGGTTAAAATATAGCAAGGTTAAAATGGCTACATTCTCCTTTAAATCCTTCAGCTCTGCAAGCAGATTGAGAAATCACAAACTTGCTACATTATAAACCTAACTGGAAATAAAACGCTAGCTCCTGAGAAGCCGCTTCCCTCCCCCCTCCCTTTGTTCATTGCCTCTACTGTGCACATCCTCTAGAGCCAGAGGTGGGGGTGTTGTTTGCCTCCTTAGTTTCTCAGGAGATGGAGTCAGGAGATGCAGGTGCTTTTCTTACTCCAGATCTTAATGAAAAATTGAAGTACTTATAGGAACCCAGATATTAACATTACTCAAAACTGTTTCAGTCCTTGGAGGCGACTTTCTTAGGTAAGGGCTTGACTAGTTCGTGACGAGTTCTCTGAATAGCAGCAGAGCAAAGCTGTACTGAGCTTCACTTCCCTCATTTAAGCTCTGACACCCAAGAGGCAGAAGGCTGGATCTGCTTCAGGGCCTGCAGTGTCAGCTGTTTCTGCCCTTTGGCCTCTGGGAGTTCACCACTGCAGGCAGAGTTTACCCTTGTTCGGTTATTACTGATAGCTCCAGGAGTGGACATGGGAGAATCCAGAAGCCAAAAGATCCCGTCTAGGTGCACTAGCTGGCAAAAGCCCCAGTTAGCAAGATGGAGCGGTGGGGGTGGGGTGGGATTTGAGCTATGAGGTAGAAATTGGGGTGATGTCTGTGTTTGATTTCGTGATTTATTTGCCTTGACTAGCGAGGAATGGTACTGACTGCATCACACTTTTGGGTCAGTGGTGGCACTGCAGGTAACAACAGTACATGCTATTTCACAGGTCAGCTGGTAAGCAGTGGGTAGCTGCTGGACTTGCTACTGATGAGTAAGGCCGGCACCCACATCTGGGTGAACATGAGGTCCTGAAAAGCATGCTAGCAATGAGTTACAGGGACTCATGTTTGGGGCTCTGGCACATGTTACCCTGTCTCTTAATGGGGACCTGGGGTTGGGTGGTGAGAGAAGCCCGTCTCCCCATGTTCCCTTTCTCATGGGAGAAGTGACATTACCATACCTCATATGGGCATCAAAGATGGCACCTTGAATGGCCGATGACAGAGAATACAGAGAGACAGCTGGCAAATGGCAGGCAGTGGGGAATGCCAGCTGAAGCCAGGACAGAATGGACAGTGACACGGGTGAACTTGCTTTGCAATCTGGGTCTCACCTTGTTTATTTTCAGTGTGACCTAACGTTACATTTTAGTTGTTGCAGCTGGTGGATGCGACTGAATCGCACACACTTGCTTTGTTAGCAGCTTGTTTTCGGCTGAATCACCTGCTCTGCTGTCTCTTACCACACTGGTAGCCCTTCATCAGCTGCCTGACGTTCCGTTTCTTCCAGCTTCCCTCCTTTCTGAAAGATGGGTAGGGTGCTCCTAGCCTCCCAACATTTGATCCCTTGGCTGTCTTCACCCTTCAGGCTGCCGCCACCCTCCTCCTGGGCTTGGAAAGCCGAGTTACCCTGAGCACATAGTTCTGCTCTTTGTCCATTCTGTCTGGTAAAAATTCACAGGCATTTGCCCTTCGTCTCTTGAGTAGGCATGACTGCCCCTCAAGACTCCACTTTCTCTGAATCCCAGGGCTGTTCTAGGAAAATGCCCTATTTTCCTGACTTACTCTGTAACACTGGGTATGTGCCCTTCACTTCCCCACGACCAGGCAAATCACCTTGACTTAAATGTCTGGTTTACACCTCAGACTAGGAATGGCTCTTCAGCTTCCCGGCCATTTCAGCACCATTTCCCCTTCGGTGTCCCGTGCTGGCTTCTGTACTTGCCCTTGGTTGCTTTCCATTTGCAGAGATCAGTGGCTTTTGTCTCACTGTCACATGGGCAAATCACAATGTCAGCTTCCCAGCTTAATGTCAAAAGATTGTCTAGAATACCTTTAGATTATTAGGCACGAAAACTTTTTCCTGGTTTAGGAGCTTTTAAAGAATGTTTAATCATAGTGACCTTTGTTTTGTTTTGTTTTGTTTTGTTTTTCGAGACAGGGTTTCTCTGT